GCAGAAGCGGGGACCCGCCATTTTTAAAACCCCACTGGTTCGAACCCCGTCCAGCGCGGCTACACGGGGCTCGAATTAGGTAGTTCGGACTAGGAAGCCTAGTCCGAACTACCTAGTTGGAGCCCCGTGTAGCCGAGCTGCACGGGGTTCGAACCAGCGGGGTTTTAAAAATGGCGGCACCCCGCTTATGCAAATGAAGCCCGGGAAATTCAAATCCCGGGCTTCATTTGCAAGTGCGGTATGCCTACATTACCCTCCTAGTTCGAACTAGGAGGGTAGTGTAGACATACCCTGAGATTGTGGAGCCCACAGCGGTGGCACAGATCAGCCAGTTAGGGCCCAGCTGGGAGCTATATAAATGAGTGCTCCTGAAGGGGAGGGGAGAGATACTTCTGCTCTAGCTGTGGAGTAGGGGGGACCTGTCTGCTAGGGAAGCTAGAGGCAGGGAAAGGCAGGCAGGCAGGCAGAGCTGGGGACCTCTAGCCTGACCTCACTTCCAGGCTCCAGGGCCTGAGGCAAGGCCTGAGGATACTAGGGCTGCAGGGAGGCAGCCAGGGCAGCAGGTCCACCCCTTTGCCTATGATGAGTGGCCATTTCAGACTGCCATTTGCCCTGGGGGCAGGGTTTAGATAATGACTGGCAGTAGGTCACTGAGACAAGATGAGTATAGGACACTGGGGGTTCGTTGAAGGGAAAAAATAGTCAACATGGATTCACAAAGGGAAAGTCGTGCCTGACTAATCTGATTAGCTTTTATGATGAGGTAACTGACTCTGTGGATATGGGGAAGTCAGTGGATGTGATGTACCTTGACTTTAGTAAAGCTTTTTTTACTAGCAGGGTGGTGAAATACTGGAATGGATTACAGGGGGTATGTCTACACTACAAAGTTAATTCGAACTAACGGACATTAGTTCGAATTAACTTTGATAGGCGCTACACTAGCGCTCCGCTAGTTCGAACTTAAATCGAACTAGCGGAGCGCTTAGTTCGAACTAGGTAAACCTCATTCCACAAGGACTAAGCCTAGTTCGAACTTACTAGTTCGAATTAAGGGCTGTGTAGCCCCTTAATTCGAACTAGTGGGAGGCTAGCCCTCCTCAGCTTTCCCTGGTGGCCATTCTGGGCACCACCAGGGAAACTCGTATGCCCCCCTCCCGGCCCCGGACCCCTTAAAGGGGCACGGGCTGGCTACGGTGCCCGTTACAGGTGCAAGCCTGCCAGCACCCAGCCAGCAGAACCTGCACCTGGGACCGCTCGCGCCAGCCACCCGATGCCCCC